TAGCTGCAGAAAACCGATGACAATCTCCATTCACACCCCAGGGAAATACAGTCGTTTAGCGTTTAGGGTTTAGGGCTTAGGGTTTAGGGTTTAGCAGCCACAAACCACGTTTCGTGTCAACCGCTGAAACTCGAAATCCAACTCATCAGCACCCAGACCCACAACAAGTCATGAACGATACCGATACATCTTATATGCACACATTCGTGACATGTCCTAATACATCCTATACAAACCCTCTCAAGCCCTGTCTAGGCCTTGCACATGCCACGCATGTACTTATAGCACATCACGCAACACAAGGCCACCAGAAATAGAGAAATATCTGGCTGAAAAACAAGGGAAGGGAGTTGTTCACTGCTCAGATTCCCTTAAGGCATGGTCCTGAGTAGCTGTACATTCCACAGCACGAGTGTTCTCTATACCAGTAACTATAATAAGAGACTGTAGGATGTTACCAACAAGATCTAGGTGGGTTCGGGGGGTTGTTTTTAAGGTTTAGGGTTTGGGAAGGGATCGGGGCAAAACACACCACTCGTCTGCAACAACTAGCTCAACAACCCAAACCTCAACCCAAAACCTGGAACTCTCAACCCTAAACTGACATGTAAGGTTAAAATCATTGGGCTCTGGCATGGGTCGTCCTGGGATCTTTTTATTCCCTATGTATACTCTACACATACCCTCAAGCGCCGCTAGAATCCCCATGAGAAAGGCTTATGGCCCGCATCTGGGGCCAAACTTTCAACCCTAAACTCTAATACTGTTGATGGGTGAAATCCTAGAAATCCTACACCACCTTAAGTCACTAAAGTCCTGGGAATTAGTGTAGGGGCTCTAAGTGATGCAAGATTTCCTCCATCAACAGTATCTAAGAAAATCGTCCAAGTTCCTGGCTCCTGCATCTTGAAGCCAAAATCCTCGTGGGAGCACAGGTGGGTTTGAAACACATGAGTAGTAGTGTTGTTTTGGTGGTTGAACCTAGTAAGATAATATTCCTTATATAAAATACTATACCCAAAAGGAAGATAAAATCTTAAGCTATATTGGGTAGATCATGTGACAGTCGTAGATTCCTGATTTGGGGAGGTTGGGGACCATCCAAATTCCCGTATGATCAACCCTGAACCTGCAGGCATTCGGTCCCTACACACACATACGCAACCCTATCTATGCCTTGAAGCCCGAAATCCTGCAGCCTGAAACCTTTGACCAAAAATCCTGCAACGCCAAACTCTGAAGCCTAAACACTCAGCTCCGGGCCCTGTAAGCTCTGCGTGCCACATCCCAAGTGCTAAACCCTACGAAGCCCTGAATCCTCAGCCCTGGCACTTATATATATATAGATATATAATCCCCTATACAATCATATAAACACATACATATATACCCCGATATAGAGCCTTAAATATAAGCCCCATCCCAAACTCTCTACTGTAGAAACTTCAACGCTCAGAAGGATTATACACTCATAATCCTCAGATGGCTCTGGTAGAACATGTGTATTTCCTTGAGCAAGGAAGACGTCCCTACTATCTAACCCAAATCTGGAAATCCCTACAGACGCGCAAAGCCATACCCCTGAACCCTCAACCCTAAACCCACACTCCTCCAAGCTCGGACTCCTTCAGAGCAAGCCAGAAGAATGGAAATGGCTCTGAAGAATTAGGGTTTAGGGTTTAGTGCTTGGGCATGACGTAAGAGGACATGTAAGGCCGGGGTGGGCAAACACAGGCCCCAGATTCTTTGGGGATCATTTCGAAAGAGCTTAAACCTTGATCCCTATACCCTAAACCCTAAACCCCAGAAGTTTCTCAAGGAAATCTTGTGGGTGCAGGTTTAGGGTCTAGGGTTTAGGGCTTAGGGTCTCACGTCTAGGGTTAGGCTAGGGTCTAGGGTTTCAGCGCTTAAGGTCTAGGGTTTTAGGGTTAAGGGTTTAGGGTCAAGCTCCAACTGCTTCTTGTGGGATTCGTCCACAGTTTTGATCCGCAGACGATGCCCGAATACAAAATTCGATCATGGGCTTGAGTCCTATATACAATGTTGTATACTACTTCTAACCACCCACGTCACTCCCAGCCACCACGACGTCAGCAGTTGAAAGTGGAGAGTCGGCTCTTGTCTGGCTACCGCTGGTTCGAAGCACCACACTGAACACCACTACGTTTGCAGGTGGGCAGCTTGCCTGGCCATGTGCTACCAGCCATATCGCCCTCTCTGTCACAAGTCACTCAGCTGCAGTAATCTACCGCAGAGGTTGGGCCTCAGAAGTCCCGTGGCCATGTAGCCCACATCGCCCACCTCGCTCAATATGTTCCACACACGGTTTAGGGTTTAGGGTTTAGGGTGTTCCTCAGTGGCGCGACCTAGTCCAGGGAGTGTGGTGGGTCGGTCGTCTTGGTACTGTGGGTCCCACCCCAAGCCGCACAGACCAGCACCTTTCACGGTTTAGAGCAATCCACCCCCCAAGGACTATATTGAGAGTGTACTAAACAACAAAAGAGACCTCCGTGTCCACTGTGAGGGGTTGTTACTGTGAGTGGTAGTGACTCACGTAACACTGGTTTGGAGGACCCAGGCCCAGTACAGAGTGTGGTCAAATCAAAGGCCGCAGCGCTACGTCTGGTCTCCTCTGAGCTATACAGTCAATATAACTTGCAGGTTATGAATGCGTGTGGGTTTGTCATTGGGGACTAGACTAGAGAGTCTACTAGACTGAGAACCTCTATGGCTCCGTGGGTATCCTGCACTGTTGCTGGTGCTGCGAGGACGCCTTCTCTATCTAATGCGACATGACTCTCAGCCGGGAGGACGAGACGCTGATCTCTCTTCTCTAAGCTACAGTCAATTTTTCTCCAGGTTTTAATGGGCATCAGTTTCTGTTTAAGGACTCTATTGGCAGCGTACTAGACTACAAGAAATCTTCTTACGTCCCCTCCAGAGTCTGCACTGCGCTGGATAGACCTCATGTAAAACTCGTTTGGGGGAACTTGTCCTACTCAGCGCCTGACAATTTCGCCTCTCATATTGTTACCCCTTAGACCTACGGCATTCACACGCAAAAGGAAGTCTTTCAGGAGCAGACCGCACAGCCTTGGTTCCTCTTAGAACCAGGTACTGTCCAGAAGCGCTCGCAGCTCGGCCAGGCCAGGTCGCGCCCAAAGCGCGCTCTCCGCAAGGCCGACTTGAGGGTAGTGACTTCTTCCTCCGTGAGGGTCAGGCCATTTCTTGTGTTCTGACGGCCACATTTGTGATGGAGAAGCAAGTTGGTTAGCTCCCAGGGCTTTCGCGTGTACGCCGGAAGACCAGACGAAGCCATCTCCCAAGCGCTTGCCCAGGTGGACCGGTGGTGCTGCCTTGCGGACACCTTTGTCAGATTCAACTGCTTCCGCATGGCAGCCAGTACGTAAGCGCCCGAATATTTCTTAGGGCAGTCGTACGCAGCGTGGCAAAGGAAAGCAACACGCAGCATGAGTTCACGAAGCGCCTCATTGTGAGGCTCTTCCAAAAGGGCCTGTTGGCATTTCTCAGCAGGGGCTGTGGCAAGGCCTCGGACGTTGATTGTTGAGACGGTAAACAAGTGCCTCAGGTAGTCGTTCGTTCCGTCACCAGGGCGCCAAAAGGGCTTGCGCTCCTCCACTTCCAAATCATTCACGGCTTGGCGCGCAACCTGCAAGTCCAGAGCCCCCACGGCTGCGTCTGTCAGGTCGAGGAAGCCCACGACATTCTCGTTCAGTGTGACGAAGACCTCATCGCCATCCGAGTCGCCTCCAGAAAGCACCGTGACGCCGGAACCGCGCGCAGCGCATATCAGGCAGTTGTCGGGCACAGCCCACAGCTCCTCCGGCCACTCCTTGGCTTCCCAGACTTCCAGATCACTGGGCAAGATAACGGGGCTCTGCCACACTGCCACGCGCCCAATTATATTTTGGCCATTGGCGATAATGTAGCACTGCTTCTCCTGCTGAGGTAAGGCGCGGTAAAACCCGTATAGTTGGCGTTCGGTTCTTACATACACCTACATAACGAACACACACAACACCACACTTGGCTTGCCAGGCTTCAACAGATGGTTACAACTCTCTAACCTGGGGCCCCGTCACCCCACCTCAAGCTTCTTCCAGATGTCTGGCAGGGCTGTCAAAATCCAAGAGCCACCAGGCAGCTCCAGCTGCGGGTTGTGCCGACATTGAGCGAGGAATCCATTGAAGGCCACCGCTCAGCACGGCCCTTTTTGTGCCCCGAGCGAGGTCACAGTGCCCCAGCTCGTCAACTTCCTTCACCAGAACGCTCAAAGGCGTTTCCTGGGCGCCCGGCGCGGCACTTGGCAACGATGTCTCGCTGAGCTACGCGCTTCACGCGGGTTTTCGTCGCATCAGCTTCGGCCTTGCGCTTGTCTGCTCGCGCCGGCCTTGAGGCTGAGGACAGCTGTCTCACCACGCATGTTGCCGGAGTAAGCAGGTCTGACGCGAGGCCCCAGGCTTTGCATATGTAATGCTGAACGGTGGCCTCTTGTAGGCCCCAAAGCCTTACTTGCCGAGACATTCTGAGCAGTCATGGGGGCAAACATAAAAAGGCTTAGTATTCCAAATCCAAGACACATCTCTTGGAGGGCGGCCAAATATTCTTGGCCCTGGTCTACGCTGCTGCTGCTAAGAGCCCGCATGGCCAGCGCGGCGGTCACCTGCGCATTAATGTGAGCTGGGCGTCGTGCCTCAGCAGTGTCCTTGGCCACGTCCAGAACATGGCCAGAAGAGGCAGAGCGCGGGTACGCCATGTCAAGCTTCTTGCAGCTCTTTCGTAGACGCAGGACGCTATCCCTTGTTGGGTCCACCATAAGCATGCCCTTTCCGAGCACAACGTGTTCTGGCGTCAGAGCAAACAGACCACGAAACCGCTCTCCGGCTGCCCAGCGCTCAGCATGGCCACGCGCAGGGCCTCAGACACTGCCATGATAGTCGTCCTCTATGAGACGAACTTCGAGGTCTCGTGGCAGGCACCGCTGCGTGCTGGGGTCAGAAGAAGCGGCAGCCGGCTGTAAGCAGTCTGCGAATCAGGCGCAGCTTCCAGCAACCGCACAGCTGAGACGGATGCAGAGAGCGGCTTGCTCGCGTAGTACACCTGTCCGGACTCTTTTCCCACAATAGCTTGCAGCACAGGTCGCTCCACGCCTTCTATCCCTGCAATTTCCAGAGGCGTCAGTCGCCGCGCTTTCTGCTTGGCTGCGCCATAGTTCACGGAGAAAATGGACACATCTAGTGATCTGGCTAGGTGGCTGTCTTCCAGTAGTTCGGGAATTACGGCTAGGGTTCCAGGAGGCACAAAGCAAGCCGGACGCCGCTTCTCAGTCAACCGCCGCCGTGTCAAATCTGGGGCGCGTGTCTACTTCAACGTCACTTGGGTCCCAGTCCACTGCATTGGGGTCAGGCAGCTCCTGCTCCGACACCTCTTCTGCCTCTTCTTCTTCAAATAGGTAGACGCCCAGGCCCTGCACAAGTTCAGCACGCTTTGTAACTGGTAGATTGCACAGGCCAGTGATTGTGAGCGCAGGGGCTTGCTTCTGGTGAACTCTTGATAAATTTGGACGGATTTGCAATTTCAGATCACTGCTTTAGCTAAGAGGGCATTCGAGGTGAGGAGGGGTGTCGTTAAAGTTACGCTGAGGCTTTCGGTGGGCACCTACTTGGTACTCGTGGCCTCGCGAAATGCTTCAGGGACTTGGCATGACTTGAAGGCAGCTTCGTTGGCGCGCCATTCAGATAGGCTGCCAGCGTCTTGGGTGCGAGGCACTTGACAGCAGCTTGCCACGCGGCTGCATCGAACTTGTAGCAGCTCTGCAGAAAAGGTTCTGCAAGCTCGCTGTCCACAGTAAGTCCCCTCCAAAAGGAGTCTAGGAGGACGAGCTCATGCTTGGCACCGCGCTTCTGCGCATATTTTGCCATGCCGTGGCAGGGCCTTGTTCCGTTGTTCCTACCACAGCACTTGAGAGAAAACGATACAGGAGAGTCTTCCTTTCTCTGCACAACTTCGTCATATCGATTTCTAGCGGCTGGTCTATTGCCGCACACACAGTGGCTGTTTGCAGCAGGCTGCCAGCAACAGGCAATTCTCAGCAAACTCCAAATTCTACATGTCTGGCCTGGATGTCTGCGTCCTGCCTTGTCACATGCAACTATATCAACCCTCATGCACCTTCGCAGCCGAGCCGAAGCCCCCCAGAAAGCATCCCGGACGACGAGGTTGTGCCTGGCACCGCGGCTTTACGTGTTTTCTCATGCCACAACAAGGCCCTGCTTATAGTCTTGTCCACACTCTACTTAACAGGACTGGGTTCACGTGGCTTGGTACCTGTGTCATTGCCGTATGCGCCCGCTTGCTGCGGTGTGTGGTGTAAAAACAAACAGTCAACAAAGCTGCAATGTCGGGCTCTGGCTGTTTACTATGTCTGAATGCTACTTTGCCCAGCCAAGTTGGCAGCCCTCTGAGGTGTTGATCACGACCTTCACTACAGAAAGCCAGCTACAGGCCGTCCCTGACTAGACTGAGAACCCGCAAGAGTGTTGGGCTGCACTTCGTCTACCAGAGGACCTATAGGCAAGTTCTGTCCTGAACCCTAAAAGGAGTACTTGTGGGTGGCTTGTACGTTGAAGCCGGCGAGGAATAGGAAAATGTGTTAGATGGCCTTCAACATATCTCCCTGCTCTCTCCAGGACCTCCCATGGATCCATCCCCGTAAGGGACCCTGCCGTAAGGACCGGCCCTTCCCATAAGGACCGTCCCTCCCCGTAAGGGGCTTCCCATGAGGGCCCAGCCTTCCCGTAAGCCTCTCCGTCATCCTTTTCTGTGAAGAGGCCTATCCCCGTAAGGTAATGGACCCCGGCCCTTCCTGTCCCTCCCGGCTTCCCGTAAGGGCCCAGCCTTCCCGTAAGCCTCTTCGTTGTCCTTCTCTGTGAAAAGACCAATCTCTGTCAGGGACCCTCCTGTAAGGACCAGTCAAAACCGTCCCTCCGCCCTTCCCGTAAGCCTTCCCGTGATGGTCGCTTCCTTCCTGTCGTAAGGACCCCCACCCTTCCCGTAAAGACCTTCCCGTACGCCTCTTCGTCGTCCTTCTCTGTGAAGGGACTCAAGGGACTCTCCCATAAGGACCGCCCTTCCCGTAAGGACCGTCCTTCGCCGTGTGGCGCTTCCCGGAAGCAGGTTTTTCCCCGTTCGGAATTTTCCCTAGCCTGTCAAAGACGCTGTGGATTGCTGGGTCCCTTCACAGAGAAGGACGGGTTTCGGTCCCGGGGAGCCCCCCCGCCGGGGTCACCGAAGAGCAGGATTTTCGGTTGCCGGAAGTCGGAATCTTCCCTGCCTTTCAAAGAAGCTGTGGATCGCTGGGTCCTTTCACAGAGAAGGACGACGAAGCCCAGACGCCCCGCAGCGGTCGGGAAGCGGCTTTCTGTGGATGGCTGGGCCCCTTCACAGAGAAGGACGACGAAGCCCAGACGCCCCACCGGATTCACCGAGAAGCGAGATTTTCGACCGCCGGTGTCGCCGGGGAGCGGGATTGTCCCCCGCCAGGGTTACGGGAGCGGAATTTTCGCCCGCGGGGCAAGAAGCGCGTTTCAGTGAGTCACCGAAATTTCCCCTGGGGTAGGATCATCGACTTCGGAAATTCCTCCTTGCGGGCAGCGGGATTCCCCCCGCCGGAGTCACCGAGAAGCGGGATTTTCGACCGCCGGGTCTGCGAAGTTACTGGGGCGGGAAGCGGGTTTTTCCACTGCCCCCGGGGTCAAGCGCAGGGGTTAAGGGTCACTCCATTTTACATTGTGCCCCATGGCTGGCAGGGATTCTGAGATCTGTGGACTCGATCTGCTGGCAAGAAGCAGATCTCGAAGCGGTAGCGTTCAGTTGTACCGGCCGCCGCCTGGCGCGGGCGGCCAATGGTTTAGGGTTTAGGGCAAGGTTTCCATGGGGCAAAAGAACGATGCAGCAAAGGGGCGGACTCTGACTCCGCCCTAGGCCTTTCCCATGTCCAGAAACTTGTAAACCCAATGCCGAGCCCTGTGCGGTTTTAGCTAGGGCTTCTCGAGGCGGTGAGTTTAGCGTTTGGGGCGGCGAGGCCCCAGGATTTTTGTCACTGGCTGGGTTTGACCAAGCAGGGCCTGGCTACTGTAAGCAATCACATTCTAACCCTTACATGGAGGATTCGAAGTAGGAAACCTAATTTGACGCGCAACGAAACTTATCCCACATCTTAGGCAAAGAGTCTGTCGTTCAAAGGATGAAACAACCAATCAGCCGGTTGGAGCAGGAAATGCTTGAAATGACAGGAGATGTGAAGAGACAAAAGAGGATACGTTTGGGGCGTGCGCGTTTCAACATCTTCAAACTGTGGCAGGCATGAAGGTTGCGGAAATGGGAACTTGTGATGTCGAATGAAAATCGGCTTGTTGCGCTGGACGTCAGGCGGTCCCGTAAGCACACACCCCTGTCGGAATGGAAGACACACATCAAGTGGCCCACATGCACGGCACATGTAATGTGAGCCCGCGGATTCTTTGGTCACATGCGAGAAAAAGTACGCCTCATTAAATTCAGGACCAGAACTTACTGGGGGTTAGTAGGCAATAATGGAGTACGTATATGATACAGTGATTGTATATTATGTAAGGGTTATATTCCTCATTCTCTACGAACCACCAGTAAGCCTATGGGCTTCTTTAGTACTGGAAGATGAGTACAACTACGTAAACTTGGTTTATGTTGATTCAACCCTCAATCCCTACACATATGTGCTTATGCAAATTTATTCCTTACAATCCCCAATTTCAAATTCATGTCCATCTTCTTCTCGATTCGATTCTCCATCGTTAGGTTACAACCTATAAGCCCTAGTTCTACCCCCCTGAACCCTAGATACCCTCATATAAACTTCTACAACACGTGTAATAGCCCCATATTCTTTTACTTGAAACTCCCACCCTAAACCCTAAACTGAGTGAGCCCGGGGCCATCGAGCAGGGCGAACGCACTGAAGCCGGCAGGCGAGGAGCTCCGGAGCAAAAAGCCCGACGGAGCTCCAGTCCCGCACGCGGCTGAGGGCTGTGCAGTCGCCCATAGACTCTCTTTCCCAATAACCAGGGCCCAAAAAGTTCAAACTTTAATATAAAGACCAAATAAGGAAGGCCTAAAAAGTTTCAAGTTCTTCCATTGGCTAAGTAAGTAGAATCGGGCCTCGGGGCCTTGCATTTGCATGCCCTCCCAAGCCCGGCTCCAGCGCTCTCAGGGCGAGCACCTTAGATCTCCCTCAGGCCCTGCAGGGTCTAAGTGGTTCAAAGCTTGAGGCCTCCAGCTAAGGCTCCATCTGAAGAAAACTAGAAGCCCAAACTCAAACCTTGCAACCGTCTGGTTCAGACAAGTCCAAGTAGTTCTATGCTTGAAGGCCTCCAGCCAAGGCCCCATCATTGAAGAAAGTGAAGGCCTCAAGCCAGACCCGACCAAAACCTTGCACCCGCCTGGTCCAGACAGGTGTCATAACAAACAAGAAAACAAGAGCGCAATCAGAGATCAAGGAAACCCTAAACCCGCAGAGGTCAAGGTGAGGGTGGAGCGCCAGCGGCCATGGGATCATACGGTTCACGGAGCGCGCCCGGGCGCTTTCAGCACCAGGGCGCCGCCTCCATGAGACGCCCTAAACCTTAAACCCTAACTCCTCCAACATCCCAAACCGTCCTCATCTGCGCCACGGAAGTGGCAGCACCCTCAGGGCAACGTAGCGCAAGAGAGCGGCGGGGTAGCGACGCCTCGCCAGCGAGGTGTCTTTGGAGTTTAGGTTTTAAGGTTTCGGGTTTGGTGTTTCAGGAATCATTAGCCTGTAGGCAGCAGGGTTTAGGATTCAGGGTTTAAGGTTTCGGGAACGGCGTTTAAACTTTAGGGTTTCGGTTTAGGGTTTGGGACTGACGGTTTAGGGTTATAGCCCCATCACCAAACTTATGTAGGGGTCAGATTAGATGTTATGTAACAGAAAATATGCTCATCTACTTAAAGGTTCATGGGACTTGAAAACCAGTTATAAGTACGGCTATGATCCCAGTGACAAGATTCTACTAAGTCCCATGAACCTTCAAGTAGGGGGATGTTGCGTTCAGGGGATTATATCTAGGGTTTAGGGCTTGTATTACAACCAAATACTGGAAGGCCAAATACATAATATCAATATATATATATACATATATCTCTCATACATGTATGTGTGTGTATACGTATATATGGATGAAG